GTACATATTGTAGAGATTTCATTATTCCCTTGTTATTATCTTTTCTTTATTGTTACTGTTCCATTAAAGCTGTTTTAGTTTCTTTTCCAAACCGTAAAGTCTCTCTCCCTTGTTCTCTCTCCTCTTCCCTTTTGGGAGGGGAGAGGGGTTCATAGAGAGCGTCTGTCATCTGTTAGTGGCCGGCCCAGCCTCAACCCGTTGCTTTGACATCAGACTCTTCCTTTACCTTGCAAACGATACAGGCATCTTGTACCAGGACTTCTGCAGCCTGTGGGCTGTTCCAGCTGTCACTGCTGAAGTCCCCTGGTGAACCTGGACCCAGACTGTCTGCAGAACAACTAACACGCTACATCTATGCATCTGCCCTCTGTTGTAATTTTGGGGCGAAAAGAGTTATCCTTTTCTGCCTGTGCCCCTTGGATTATTCCTAGTCTTGCTTTTTTTTCTTATTTCAAATGCGTGGGGTTGTTTCTCTGGAATCTGCAGCCCTCCTGGGCTCCAGTTCAGCAAAACATTTGACTCATCCCTGACATCTTGATAGAAACCAAGCAGCATGATTTTTAGCATTATGGTTGCAGGGAAGGTAATACTGGAACCCTTTCTGGGAGCAGCCCTTTTCTTTTGGAAAGGGGTGGCAATAAATGGCCTTTGAGTTTGAAATGGAGCTTGTATGAGAAGGGAGTTCTCTTGCACCCCACCTTCTTCTTGAGCTGCCTCCGTGCTCGCTGTCTTAGGTGGTACCAGGCAACTGGTTTTCCAAACAGGAACACATTTTATATAGCTCATTCCAGAGCTGCAAAATCAAGTGTGTTGCCTTTTGGATCTTGACCTGACAATACAGTGCAAACAAAACAAAACAAACTTCAGCAACAGGGTTTGTCATGGGGTTCCCCCCCCCCCAACCTAAAATACTGGACTGAGCACAGAACCCAGCTCTCCTTTTTTTGCCTGTCTCTCTTTAGAGCCCCAAAGCGATGGATCACCCCAGCGCTCACATCCAAGCCCTTGTAGCACAAAGCTCGTAGCTCTCCTGCCTGGAGGCTCCCATTTGTAATCCTCAAGACTCGTGGCAGGCTTAGGCTCCTCTTAGCAGCAAGACTGGTCCCAGCCTGTGCTTTGGGCTCGGTTTTGTAAGGAAGAGGGGAGGAGGGAGGCCTTTCCTGCCCGGTCCCGCAGTACCCAGCCACTGCTTGTCCGTGTTTCTGTGCCTCAGGGTGGGACATGCATCTTGCTGCATCTTTGATGTGCACATCACCACGTTACGTGCTATCTTGTCCAAGTAGAAGGGAGATAACTCAGCTCTGCCCATCTGGAATGGGAACAAACCAGCAAAACCTTCGATATCTTGCACTGAAAAGCACCATCTACCTCGTTGCAAAGTGTCTTAGAATTTGAACAGTGATCTGTAGTAACCAGTTACCACTTGTCCGTGGGGACTTAGCTCATGTAGACAGAGAATGATGCGCCCTTGGACCCAGAGAAGTGTCCTGAATGTTACCTGGCTTTGTGAATATACGTGCATCTTGGAATTTGGGTAAATTCCTAAAACTTAACCATTTAATTGGAAAGTTTCTAATAGCTTGATACAGAGCAAAGTACCTTGTTTTGCTGCAGTTTGCTGTTAAAGCTGAAAACATAGCACTCTCTTTCCTGTGCCCTTTCTCAAGGAAGATTCAGGAAACCTAGAAGGGATGTGGAAAAGCGTCTTAGCTAAGATTTAAGATAAACAGAATCTAATCAAAGACGTATTCATTATTTTTCTGAATCCGGGGAAAGCACTGAGCTGAGGGGAGGGCAAAACAAACCATCCCCGATCTGCCTGCAGCGCACATTGCCCAAGTAAAATTCACAAGTGTCCTGCCTCAGATTCTTGTGTTTGTCCAATTACCTCATTTTAAAAATAAAGTGGTTGAT